CACTATATGTCTGTCTATTTATCAAACTCCGTGTCCTATACTGCAAGCCCACCTTGGACAAAAACTCCTTTTGAAATATCTGGGCATTCCATACATGAAGGCCTTGTAAATAAAGCTTATCTATACAGACATTTAGTCTGCAGTAAATTGGAGTGTGCATCTACCTCACACAAGCCTGCTGTGACTATCTGTCTGCGGACTTACTGCGTGGACACTGCTGACATGGATCAACAGTTTTTAGTGCACTTTTATCTAGTCCTCTTTGAAACAACAGGGTCCACACAAACAGTTAGTCCACTGTCTACAGCAGGCTAGTGTGCTAGATTTGTACGCCAGCTTGCCAGACTAATTGCTCTTATAGACAAGCAAGACTGGAACTTCATCGGGGCAGGAATTTTGTTGTCCAGTATGTTGGCAAAACACCATTCACACCTTCTGCCTAGTGCTGTATAAGTAGTAATTGTGTTATTATTAATAACTGTATATTACATTTAATGCTCACATTCATTTGAGACTCAAGGCACGACTCCCGACTGTGTCCAAAAGCGTGATTGTTGATGGATTAAACAGTTGTTGATGAACTAAACAACCAAACCAGTCCATTTTAGTGAGTCTGTAGAAAGTTTTTGTTTGGTACCTTAAAATTCTATGTGAAAAATAGATCTAACTAGGGAGAAATAAAATTCAGCAAGAATTAATTTACTCCCTCAGTTGTTGGAACTCCTATATCTGAGTGGTAATAAATAACATATGTTTTTTGAAAAGTTCCTTTCACCTTTTGAACATTTTTGTGCTGTAAACCCAATATGTGTTACTATCTTTGCCCACCCCTATTCATTAGTTAACAAGTTTTGAAACTAAATTTATTCATGTTGCCATTTCTCACTCGTGCTTTGTAAGTATTGTGTCCAGGATAGCTGGTAAGATCCCTGCAAAACCATACGTTGCCAACATAAAGAGAATGCATATTTAAGGACTGGGGATTATCTGTTCTCTTGACAAGACTATGCTACATATCACTGGCTGTCATACACAGTCTGCTGTCAGTTCCTAGCAGCAATTCTGTTTGAAGTTCAGTCCAGCACAAACAATGCTCAGATAGACTTTTCTTATAGAAAACCAAGCTCTAGCGTAATTGCATTTATGTTTAAGCAACCCTTGATGTTTTGCATATATTTGTCACACTAAGGGGAAGATCTTGTGAGGAGCAGAGTGCTTTCTGGACAGGACTGTGTGCCCTCATCTCCCATCATCTACAATGTGGGTGTTCAGTTCCCTGCATGAGGCACTTCAGATTGCACTCCAAAACCTGTAAATATGAAACCAGAATCGTGTTAAAGATTTTAGGGCATGTGATCCAAAGTAAAGCCTGATCATAAAAACAAATACTGCATATATAACAACCACAACCCATCCAGGTCCACAGAAGAGAGTTTATGGGCTGAACATTTGAAACTGCTGGTTACTCTTTAAGGGCCTGATTCAGCCGTGGCATGAGAGGATGCAACTCCAAAAACTTCTTCAATTGAAGCACACCCTCTTCATGGCATGGCTGAATTTAGTCCAGAGTGTGCATTTAGACAGGCTACACTACTGGGTTGGCGACAAGAGCTATTGCTTCAACTGGCCCAATCCCACACCAGTCAAAGCCAGTTATTCAGGATCAGGCATATAATGTTTTCTCAATCAATGGAAAGTTTTAAAGGGACAATGTCAATTAGTTTAGACATACAATTTAATAAAAACAGGGAGAGAGAAAGGGTTTTTACAGAGAGCTCAGAACTCCTGGGGTAGTTTCTGTTTTGAAGTGCAAAACCTTGTCAGTCTAATTTTGGTTTTCCAAAGCCAAACACAAGGAGCAGTTTGGCCTGTCAGAATTGGAGTCAGGCATGTGTAGATAATCGATTCTGATTTGGTGCCATCTCTATATCTCCGGAGACTACAGCCATTGGTGTCAGTTTCAGTGAAAACAGAATTTAGCTTTGTTGATCATTTAAACATTTTCTTATAGTGTTGGAAACCCAAATACGTTAGCTCTGGATTAATGCATGAGAACTGGAAAAGAAAGCTGACTTTACACAGAAAGTGAAAATGACCCGCCCAGTTTCATTATCTGAACTGGGTGACATGCACAAAGTGAACAATCACGTAAAATGGAACCATGTAAAACAGAACAAGCCCAGTCCCACAAACAGTTACTGTTGGCCTTGCTGCTAACCACTGAGAGTGAGTAGCACTGGGCTTGGAAGTAAGTGTTGTGCTAGCCATGTTGGTCCTAGTATATTAGAGAGACACGGTGAGTCACAGCTGTGACATTGAGTAGCTCAAAAGCCTGTCTCTCTCACCAATAAAATTGGCCCAATAAAATATATTACCTCATCCACCTTGTCTCTCTAAAATTCTTTTAGTTATTACTCTCAGGCATTAATAGAAACACAGGCAAAATATTTTTAAACAAATGATTTAATCTTGACAGCGTCCCTTTAAATGTCTGAATGAAGACAGGAGTTTTATCTTTGAAGGAACAAATTCAAATAGCGGCTACTACTGAAGGTTTAAAAAATTCTTTATAACTGTAAAATTTCTAGTTGAGTATTAGCAGTACTCTCCCTAGTGGAAATAAACAAGTCAGACCATTAGGCATTTCAGAGTTTCACAGTAATTTTAAACAAAGGAAAAGTGTGCTACAAGATTATGCTAATTCTGAGCACACCACAGTCCCTATCAGACCTTCACAGCTTTCTTCTCAGGCTGCCACTGCCTTTGAACATCTGGTCCTCACCTCACTTGCCTTTCTGCTGCAAATCCAGTGCTGTCAAATCTCATAGGCTCTGATGGTTCCCCAGTTAGATGCATCCTTACCCTGTACTGTGAACACCAGATTTCAAAGTCATAATGCCTAAGACTCAGAAGAGAGACAACTGTAGACTACACTGAATTTTCAAAGGTAGAGGAGCCTGCCAGGAGATGTAGAATAGTCAGAGATTGAGGTATTTACAAATACAAAAAGAAGTGCTCCTAACACAAATGACAGAAAATAAAATAATAATTAGCAGCTAAACCCATACCAGAACAAGACAAAGAGCACTATGGAGTTTGTTTCTATAACCAAGTATTCTCTGGCCATGGACTCCATCTCTTGTCACAGAACCGTGTCCCAGAATCTAAGCTTTTATTTAAAAAAAAAAATATGTTCTTGCCCTTATGGTATTAAGAGCCTTGAAAATGTGAGCCACGTATAAATAGATGTAGTGACACTCTGCTGAGTCTGCAAACAGTCTGAAACAATAGGTTGAAGAGATGTGAGCTGCTCCATTCAGCTCCAGAAGTTGTTAGCTCTGAAACCTAAAGATGAACATTTGAATGCCAGCACTGCTGTTTCACTTTTAGCAGAGAGATCCTGCTGGTGTATTTATCCCACTGTTCCAAACCACCTCTCATGCTTTTGTAAAGGCTGCAAGCCCCAACTGTCCCTTACTCAGCTGCCATAACTTCCATCTCCTTCCCCCCCCCCCTCAACTTCTACAATGCACTTATGCATTGTCAGCATAAAAGTCTGTGCAAATGTGGGGTCAGAATAAAATACATTGAACTTAATATAAAAAATCGTAAGGGCAATTGTACAGAATGTTTTGCTTATCTTCATATTTCATTGCTTAAACCCTCCATTTTTTAATATGAACGAAGCTGAAGCAGGAGTTTCAACTGCCTGCGGCAGAGTGGAGCTCCAGCTTCCTGTGGAGTACACAGAGCTGTAGCCTTGTCTTTAGTTGAAATAATCCAAAACATTGGGCTGATACTCATGTCAGGTGTTAGAATATAAGAACCTGCTCATCCACCCCTCGCAGCTGTGCAGTATCATCTACAAATTGTATCTAAACCCAGGCATCACCTGCTTCACAGAAAGGAAATAGATTTGACAATAGCATTAGCGTGAAACTAAAATTAGCTGCATAATACAGCTCTGTGATCACTGAAACTGAAGACAGTTGAGCGATTCATATCCCAGATCTTTCTTGACTGAAATACTTTCAAAAAAAAATCCTGTCAGTTTCCATTCACTGTTTTCTTCTCATCTTTCAAGAGCAACTCCTGGGCCCCTGAGTTTTAAGCTGTGCATTGCACGCACAGCAGAACCTCATGAATGCAAACACAGCTCGTGCAAAAGCTGGCAGCTCTCTCCTCTCTTGTTAGCAGATTGAATAGCAGAAACTGTGCTGTAATGAGGTCTCATGTTAGCAAGATTTTGTTATTTTCACAAAATGTTTAAGTATATTTACTAGACCACTGTGAAACATTATCTCTGATCATTAAAGCTAAACTACATGCATTCCTGAGTTCATTAAAATACATTGGTAGGAAGATAGCTCCTGGGGAGGATGGGTGAGGAGACGCAGAGGATGGTAAAGAGAAAGAGAAAAAAAGTTCTGCTGTCAGTTATACATAGTACCCCATTGATTGAGTGAGTGTAATTTAGTGATAAACTTGCCCCATAGCTTGATAAGTGGATGCAATATTTGTGCATTTACTTGCCATTTCAAAGAAATTCAGTAATGCACTGTGGGTCTCCGGCTCTTTAAGGTGAATTAGTGAGGCTATACTGTGTTAGTGTACATGCACGCACACACTATATATGTATTAGCAGCACCTTATTAGTTCTTCTGATGTTCAGGTTGAGATAGCATTCCCCACTGTAAACCCCTCTTTTTAGGGGCATACAACTCAGTGCTACAAATTCTTTCGCAAGTTGTAAGTTGGCTCACACAGTATCAGCAGTGATTTTTATCCCCATGAACATTGTTTTTTAAAATGTGGCTCTACTCTTGAATTTTATTAAAGTTGGAAAAATGAAAGTGTTTGGCCTCATTTTTGTAGTCTTGAATAATTCCACATGGGTTCTTCCAAGCAATTAGCTCTTAATGTGGTAAACAAAGATTTAATTACTATTACTACATGGTCTGGAAAGACAATAAAAATTCATCAGTGTATTTTCATTTCAGGAGGCATCTGGTGCTGGTGAAAACACATCTGAACACTTCCCTTTGGTCTGCCATTAAATATCCTAGTACAACTGTTCTGAACATCCCATCCCACGCTGGAATAGGAAGAGAAGTCCAGCCAGCCATTTCCCCCGTGGCCAGCCGTAAGGATCTTCCAGAAGGTATGTGCTTTGGATCTCATCCCCCAGACTAGAGAGAGGATGTAAAGCCTTTCCTTCTGGGTGGATCAGAGGATTGGGACCTGGTGCCCAAAGGCCTTTCTACATGAAGTCAGTAGGTGAGAGAGCAAATAAGACAAAGTTGTGGGACAGAGAACACAGAGAGGACTGGGAAGTAGGGAATGTGCTATTGAGAGAGAGATAAAGGGAAGAAAGAAGAACAGGGACAGAGGAAGACAGATCAAAAAAGGTAGGGCAGAAAATAGAGGGTGTGGGAGATACAAAGGGCAAGGGGAAAGGGAACTGTAGCTAGCTTTAAATACAGTTAAATAGTTTAAGTGCAGTATATCATGAAAACCACAAGAGGGAACTGATGAACCAAGAAGCAGCAGGTTACTGTCTCCAATGTATTTTCCTTAGAACATAAGAACGGCCGTACCAGGTCAGACCAAAGGTCCATCTAGCCCAGTATCCTGTCTACCGACAGTGGCCAATGCCAGGTGCCCCAGAGGGAGTGGACCAACAGGCAATGATCAAGTGATCTCTCTCCTGCCATCCATCTCCATCCTCTGATAAACAGAGACTAGGGACACCATTCCTTACCCATCCTGGCTAATAGCCATTAATGGACTTAACCACCATGAATTTATCCAGTTCTCTTTTAAACGCTGTTATAGTCCTAGCCTTCACAACCTCCTCAGGTAAGGAGTTCCACAAGTTGACTGTGCGCTGTGTGAAGAACTTCCTTATATTTGTTTTAAACCTGCTGCCTATTAATTTCATTTGATGACCCCTAGTTCTTGTATTATGGGAATAAGTAAATAACTTTTCCTTATTCACCACTCATGATTTTATATACCTCTATCATATCCCCCCTGAGTCTCCTCTTTTCCAAGCTGAAGAGTCCTAGCCTCTTTAATCTCTCCTCATATGGGACCCGTTCCAAACCCCTCATTATTATAGTTGCCCTTTTCTGAACCTTTTCTAGTGCCAGTATATCTTTTTTTAGATGAGGAGACCACATCTGTACGCAGTATTCGAGATGTGGGCGTACCATCGATTTATATAAGGGCAATAATATATTCTCAGTCTTATTCTCTATCCCCTTTTTAATGATCCCTAACATCCTGTTTGCTTTTTTGACCGCCACTGTATACTGGGCAGACATCTTCAGAGACCTATCCACGATGACTCCAAGATCTTTTTCCTGACTTGTTGTAGCTAAATTAGCCCCCATCATATTGTATGTATAGTTGGGGTTATTTTTTCCAGTGTGCATTACTTTACATTTATCCACATTAAATTTCATTTGCCATTTTGTTGCCCAATCACTTAGTTTTGTGAGATCTTTTTGAAGTTCA